AATTGGCATCTAAAAAAAAAAAAACAGTGGAACAGTTTATTAAAGTCTGTGCCCGGGCAGGAAACATTTGATGGAACTAAAGCGCGGTTCACAGGACGCAGATTCCTGCTGCTTTACATCTAATTAAGAACGGACTTTTACCTGGGACGCCAGGGCCGGGCAGCTAACGAGCAGGCGCCACGGAGAACTCTGCTTCACACGGACTTCTTCACACCATCGGAAAATTAAGCGGATTTCGGCTGCACGCTGAGCTTTAGGTGTTCACATTAAAGCCACAAAAGAACTCGTCGTAGGAGGAAAAAGTGAAACTTTACTAATGATTGCAGCCTCTTTTCTACCGCAGCGCTTTTCCTTCCATCGTGCTTTATGGGAATGACGTTAACATGTAGCTTAAGCGCTAGTTCAGTCAGGAAGACAATCCGTCTGACTCTGGTTGCCTCCCAGGTAATTACTCTATAAGCTGATTGAGGGGCGGGCACATTTTAGTAACCCAATCAGATTCTACACACACGGTTTCCGGGAGCCAATCACGTAGTTGCGGTCAAACTTGTAAAGGTGTCCTCCTCTCTGTTGGCTGTCAGCTGTCATTCCTCCACCCCAGTCACCTCCGGTCGGCATCGGCGTTGTTCCTGGTCCATCAGCGGGTTGCTGCTATTCCTTTAACCACCACCACCAGTGTCTGGACTCCAGGGGGATTAGGCCTAGTGGACCTCAGTGTCCCTGCCTTCTGCCTTCGGTGATAGTACTTCAGGACGGAGTCCAATCGGCAAAGACGTTGCACAATTCATATTTGATGCATGTGTAATAAAGTATTATTCTATTAAATGAGTCTCTCCTGATTGAAATGATTTCACTAGCTGAAGGAGGGGGGGTTGTAACGTTAGCTTGGACAGTTTCATGTGACACTTGATTCATGGAAGTCTCCATTTCTTAAGTGCTCCGCTTATTTTTTGTAGGTGACATTCTCACATTAGTATTATATAACGTGTCTGAGTTTTTAGGCTGCTATGAAGACAGACAATGCTCGGAATGTGCTAAACGGTACAAATCAAGCGAAAAGTACGGTAAGTGGTGGAGGGAATGGATGGAGGGAATATAACCCTTGGTCGTTTCATCTTAAAGGCTTCGTTCGTCCAGGTGCAGACTGGAAGTGGAAACCTTTCTGCGTACTTGCTCTATTGATCAGCTGACAGGATGGTTTCAATAAAAACGTATTTTCCAGGAAAAGAGTGTTGGAAAAAACCAACTACAACCAAATCTACGGAGATGTTAATCTTGTGGCGGGTGTGTTTATGACATCGCTGTCAGTTCACATTGCGATGACATTTAAGATTAACATACCCGTCATCTACAAAACATAAGCAGACCTGCGCCGTGAGCACCGCCTAATGCTCTCCACCACGAAAGGTGTAGCCTGCTCTCTGTGCACAGGAGGTGACGGAGTTGAACCGTGTGGTATTTAGGCGGGACACAGCTGTCCTCTCGTGGCTTAGTGGGTCAAGGAGGACAGAGACCTCGCGTGGGAGTTCAGAGGGAAAATCCCAGAGGCCTTTTTATTAGTCTTTACTCGGCAGCTCGTCTAAGCCTGTCAATGGTGGTTGCAGATGGCGCAGTGCAGTCCCACAGCCTCTCTTTAAAAAAACCACAGACGATTGATCAAGACTTACCGTACGAAAGCCATTTCAAATTAAATTGTAGCCAAACAGTGAAAAGGCTAGATTAAGCAACAGGGGGGCTTCCAACAGTTCTGTTGGAAAAAGGTGCAGTGCAACGCAGCGTTCAGCACTCTGTGATGAAGTATTAAAAGTGTAACCCGGGCCCAGGGGGTGGTGTGTAATTTTAGAATTAATATACAATTTAGAGCTCCGTGTTTGCAGCCTCTGAATTATTCAAATGCGGCTCGGCTATGGGCTCGGGTCTGGTGGGGGCGAGGCAGCTGTTGCGCATACAAATTGATATATTATGTCAGTAAATGAGAGAATAGGAGATGGCATAGATTATGGAAACATAAACGTTGGTGCTAGGCAACTAAACAACATGTTTGCTCTTGTGCAGAGATCAAACCTGAAAAGAAAACTGCCATATTTCTATAGGGAGTTTGATTATTTAAGACTATATTGCAGTGTGTCTGCGAGGAAAATCTTTCTTCAGCAGCCATATTTACATACTGTACATGAATTAGTGCGTACCGGTTACCCAGGGGTCCTTCGCCAGTTAATGCATGTCAGGCCGCTTATCGAAAAGTTCAAAACGCCGGATTCCTCCAGTGTTAAAATAATCTACCTGATCACCAAGAATTAAAGGTTTAATCAAAATACAAACTAAATCCTGAGGAGAGATACCAGTACCGGGGCAAATACTGTGCTCGAGTACTCAAAACTACTCTCGGTGTCTATAATGATATACTCGGTTTCCACCAGAGTATTCAAGTATTGAAGGTCCAGTATACGAGTATCTCCTCCAGAGAGAAGGCTTGTTGACGAATATGAAGATAACTGTTACGATAAAGCTGCAGTTCATTTATCGCTGAATAAAAAAAACAACCGCTACTAAATTGAACAAAAAGCAAAAAGTCCATGTAAATAAGGGCAACCGCGCATTTCAGCGACATTGAAACATAAACTCAAGATTTATAAATAATTACAGTGTCACATTAGTTGGGTTCCTTCCCAAATATGTGTCCTAACCATGGATTGTCTGAGGTACGAACATGATTAAGTTGTATTTTAGCGCTTAAGGAGCGGCTACAATGTTAGCATAGACCAGTGGTGATCTGACACAGTGAAGCGTGTGGTGAAGCTACGTTGCCATGACTACAGCATTGCATGAGTTACATGAAGAAAACGGAGACGTAACTACTGCGTACTTTCATACCCTGATCGTCCTTATATATCACGCTATTATGGGAGCAGACGCTAAACTCTTCTGGGATGCTTTTGCTGTCGAAAGTCGTGCACACTGATGTTTCAAGCCATCTCAATGTGCAAGCTTACAAAGCCCCATATTGCACAAATTGTCTTGTCTCCTTCTAAGATAACGAAGCACCAACCAAGTAAGGCAAAGTGACGTATTTTTGTCTTTGACGTGGTAGATTGTGTCAACTAATCGCTGCAGCGAGTCTGGAAGCATAAAAAATCCCACTTACAAGGAGGCCAAAACATCGTTGGCGTGATTCCTGAAAAGGCCCCTTTAACTCGATATAAGCAGAACAGAAACAAATGTGTCGTTTGTTGAGATAACAGGGCTTTTACCTTATTGTTAGCGCCCCATAGCGGCGCACGTCATCCCTCATTGCAGTGTGGACATCGCTGACATATTTCACATGTAATGAGAAAGGCAAGTCTATCTCCATCAGGTATTTATTGCTAAATCCGTCTATTTATTTCAGAAAAAAATTGCATTTCACCAGCGGGCCAAGGTCTCGCCGCAGCCTGCATAACAAGCCCGGTTAGTGTGGCGCACGGCTCGTTCTGGGACTCCAATTACCGAGCATCCTGGAAGCCGGCCTTCATTTGTCTGTCTTTGTCTCCTCCGCGCTGACATTCAGTTATAGCCGGTTGGCCGCTGCATTCGGTAATTATTTGTGTGTTTTCACATCCACGCTGCACGTGAGGGCGTAATATCCATCCATCTGAACTGCTCATCTTCTTCAGGGTTGCGGCACATATTAGGTGAATTATTGGGGCGGGGAAACGACTGGCCGGGGTGCCGGTGTGACGCAGGCCAAGGACTATTACACTGTCGGAGGAATGAACACATTCAATTATGTGTGACTCTCTGGCCCAAATGGTTTTGATTTTGAGGAAGAAAAGGAATATAAAATAGTTTGAGATCAATTCTCCAAAAATATGCGTCTTGAGGTGTGATTACAGAAACATCAATAATTGAATTCACACATTTCACCCCTTCCTCTTCTCCAACAGGAAATAGTTTGCCCCTCTTTGCTCCCGTCTCATCCTCATTTTGACTTGCTAGATGTCCGACCCAAACGAAGGTGGTCACACTTGTAAAATCAACGCTTTAGCGCTAGATTGACCTCAGCTGCATAATAACCAGGAGACTCCAATGCACGAGGTGATGCTTGAATTATTTATGATTCTCTCTCTGTCGTTTGCTGGCCTTCTCGTTATTGGGGCTGGAAATGAGTTTGCTGAATTTTGGCCAAAGTGAGACCCCCCCCACCTCCCCCCCTCTCGGCTTACGCGGCACATTAAAGCGAATCGCAGGAGACAGCTGTGGCCGCCCTTTATGGTGATGCACCCTCTGCAATTACTGCTCCGACCTTCCCCGCTGGAGAAAAATGGGGAGACGACCATTTAGCGGCCCTTTTTCAAACACTTAGTGGCAGACGAGTTGGGCAACGAGACCACCTTTTTTCGCCTGACATTGACTCTTGTTTAGAGGAGACAGAGGAGACATTAGCGAGGGGACAGGTTGAGAGATGGGACGCATCCGTCAAACAGCAAGAGGACCACGGCGCATTATTGCATCCACACGCGCCCTGTTGCATGGCGCTAGATTAAGCTGGATGGGGATAATGGCGCCGACTACAGCCGCAGCTAATAGCCATGTCCATTAAAGACTCATCTATTGATTATGCTTTAAAGTAATTCATTGTTTAGAAAATGGAACAGAACAACTTTGCAGATGTTTGACATTTGGAAATAACTTCACACCAACACCCCAGAACTTAAAGATATTAAACTACAATAATTTACACATTTGTAGAAGCCAAATGAGAGCGATTTAGATTAGGATTATCTGATGAGATCTTCACATTTAATGGGTTTCCTTAAGTGCAGAATTGTTGTTTAAAAGGTGCTCTCTGGTTTCTGTTGCTTTCTATTTGAAGATGCCTGCATAAATCATTCACAGCGCAGCTACTGGAGCAGATGTGTTAGAGCAATGCCGTCGAACCCGCATCCTGTATAACGTTGGTTACCTAAATCGCATGTCACAGGAGAGTTAGGAAGAGCGGGATGTGAGAAATAGAAGCTCACCTTTTATCCTCAAGCTCTCAGGGATCCCGTCCTGCGGGAACAAGAGCAGAGAGGGGAAAAAAAAGAGATCACAGTTAAGATCAACCACAAAATCACTGCATCAACGACATAGTTCCATTTACCAGAAGGAGGGAAATGTTTGGTGTTTTTACCATTGAAGTTGTATTTCAAAGACCAGCCAACTCTTTGCAAATGTTGACGTTGGGGTCTAATATTTAATTCCCTTAAGTGGTCATTTTCCTAATTTGCATGCACAATGCTGATCCTTTTCACTGCCACTACCAGACTTTTTTTTTTTTTGCATTTACACAAAAGTGTGCCCACTTGAACAAATTTGCAGTTTCATAAACACATAAAGAGAGCAAATAACCGTGACCACTGGAGTGGGTGCACTATAAAATACGCTGCATACGCTGGGGCATGAATATTGATGACGATTGTAGAAAACAATGTTATCAGGACCATTATTCTGCGGAGCTGCTCGACGCAAAAAGAAGGAATTCTGAACAAAGAGAAAGGCATTAATGTTTGATTTCCCTCCAGTGAAATCTGCACAGCTCATCGTTTCGTTCTTGTAAAGAACATTCAAACTCGAGCACGGGTGGTGTGATAGAGAAGATGCATTATGCAACAGGTCGATGGTCAATAAGAACAGTCTGCAGGCTGGGACTGCCTGCTGAAAAGGGCAGATTACCACATGCAAAGAACACGTTTTTCTGTTTAAATATTTTTGATTTTGGAGTCAATTCCTTTTTTTTGAGCTTGCAAAAACAAATTCAAACTATTTTACAAATATGAGGATAATGATATGATATTGCTACCTGTGTAACAACCTCAATCTCCTAGTTTCAGTATTTCCTGGTCTGTTCACTTGTATCAATAACTGCTGCTGCTAATGAGACCAGTTCTAAAAGGCCGAAACACTCACAACACTCCTAACGAGTCAGACAATGTGGGTGAACCAAAACTGCTCTCTGCAGAAAAGTGTCAGTAAAATTCCACCATGTGAGTCATAATAGTAGAAGTTACACACGTGGAGAAACAACCATCCCAAGACACGCTTTCAGAATGGTAATATTGACATAATGGGTATTGCTGCAGGGTCGCAGAAAGATTCTTTACTTTCACAGAGACGTCTCGGTGAAATCGAACACATCTCCGGAGGTGAGAAGTGAAGCGTACGCTGACGTGCCAAAATCTGCCGATGATCAGAAGGACGCTCGAGTCTCCCACAGAGTACGAATTGAAATGTGAAACAAATGTGTTGTTCTTGAAAACTCATAAATCAATTCATCTTGTGTCATCTCGTAGGTAAAGCTTTACCTATATATATATATATATATATATATATATTGACTGTATCCAGTAATGTCCTAGTCCTACTAAGGAAAATAATATTTAAGATTTTTTTTAACCCAATTTGATTAATTTCCCGTATCGATACATTTATTGTCATCACATTGAACAGTTTGCATGATGTAGAAAGTAGAAAAAAATGTTTGTGATAAATGACCTGCAGTTACCCGATTGTGGCTGATTTTGATCAATTTTTTCAGCAACTCATCGCTCAACTTTCAGTTTCAGATTTAAAGCAGTTGTACATATTTGAAATGAATCCCTTCATATTCAAATCAGTCACAAATATTTAACATTGAAACTTCCCTTCAGGGGAAAAGAAACTCCTTTTCCACCAGCTGTTTTGAAATAAAAATTAAAAAACGCTTTTGATGACATCGTGGAACTAAAAGACGACCGTGTGAAACATGAAGCTCTGATAATCGTCATCTTTCCAGATGTATTACAAAATATTGTCGACAAGAAATCCCCTAAAAGCGCCTGTGGCTCCCGGACATTCTTTGTGCCCCTCGTCCCCCTGGAGCAGGTGACGTTCAGAAACGCTGCACAGGTAGAGAAGATGTCACACGGGCCTATTTGCACACAGCAGCCCGTGTTCACACTTGGTTGTTTGGAGCAGAGTGATTTCCCCGGGCGGGTTTCCGCCGCCCCCCCCCCCCCCCCTGAGACGATGAAGCACCCAGCTGAGCCACCCGTTCATCTGGCCCGGGTCACAGCTCGCTGGCTGACCGCCGCCCACCTGCCCGCTGCTCTCGCCCCTCCGCACTGTGTTCTTAGCTGCAGCTTATGAACCGGCCTCCAGAGGATGAGGAGCAAAGACACAGTTACTGATGCAGCAGATTGGACTTTACACGAGCCGCTCAGAGAGTAGACGGCTCCCGGTGACAGTCACATTTAACCCAAACATTGTCTACAGCAGCGTTACCCAGAGCTCCTGCACGTCAAGCTACTGTGCGTTCATCGCGTTCCTTCCTCCCATTCGATGTCTCTTTATCTCGATCTCTTTTGCACCCCCCTCCTCCCACTCTCTCTCTCTCTCTCGCTCATCCCCTGTTAATCTAGATTTGCCACGTGGCCAAGCCGGCGCTGGACGGATGGGGCTTCTCGCGCAGTTGCCCTTGCCTCCATTTTGTTTGTCCCGACATAAACAGCTTGATGTCAAACCCGACGAAACGCACAGAAATTGCTTTTTTTCTTCTTTTTTTCCCCCCGCGCCTCGTGCACACAGCGCGTCGAGCCGCAGCCGTCACACGCCGGGCCTCCTCGTCACTCTTTACCGCTGCGAGCGCCGTCAAAGAGCTTGACTGCATCGAAGGGGAATCTCCACGTAGCGGAGCAGTGACTTCCAGCGGAATTACAATTAGCAGTGGATCGTGCTGGCTGGGATCCGTGTCCTCTTTTGTCTACTTTGGAGGCAACTGTTATCTCTGTATTGCCCACTTAACCATATTAACAAGCGGATGACCCGAGCCGCCCTGCGATCCAGCCGGCATTCAGCTGAATCAAATTCTCTAAACCAAAAAGCTCGATGACATATTTTTTGCAGCGCGACCATTTTTCTCCGAAGCCGTCTTTTGACAGGCGGATGGATGAGCGCAGCTTACCGCTGTCCTCTCACAGGATGAATTGTAATAGTATGCAGATGCTGTAATGACATTCGTCTGAGATGCAATCACAGCGCCGGGCACGTTGGTTTCCCCCCCCCCCCCCCCCGGTGGAAAAACACATCAGTCTCTTTTGTTGCTTCTCGTCAAATCGCCGCTGCATCCATTACTTTAATTATTAAAGTCACTCCGGTTCCAAACCCGGCCAATAAAAGCGGCCAAAAGTTGAAGTCTGACCAAGAGATGTAAAACCGTTTGATACAACGGAGGGTTTACGCAACCTTCAAAATCAAACTTTAACATGAACTTTCTTATTTTTTTGGATGTAACTGCAGATTTGCCGTAGTTTGAAATATGATTCTGGCAACAAGAAAGGCTTAAGTCATCAGAATCAAAAGCATAAACTTCACAAGATGAAGCCGTGAGGCACTGAAACCTCCATTTATTTCGCCTGTTCAGTGGGATGTTTCAGATTTTATGGTGAAGTGCCGCACTGCACAGAAGAGAACAGCAGTTTAGACCTTTAACATTCAGCTCTCTCTTCCCTTTGGTGTACTGTGAAGCATCACGGCCAGCAGGAGTTCCACCTGTGCAGTTTACCCAGATCATATTACAGCATTTATTTTTTGGGGGGCGGTTTTGTCTGGAGTAGCCGAGGCCGGTAGGATGCAGAACTCTCTGTAAAGCATCTCTCTGAATGAACCGTTCTTTCAAGAATGTTTTAGACCACCGTGTCGACTCAACAGCTTCGCGTGGCTGCCGGCTCCTCCGACGCGACCCGATGAGGCTCCGACCATCCATCCGTGGTTTCCTCCGACTTCCTCTGGCTCACGCGGTGCTTCTAACCACCTCTCAACCCTCTTTCCCTTCAGAAGCACCGTCTTTCCCTTTCATCCCAAACAGACGTGACTCCAGCCGGCTGGAACAAGTTCTAAATACAATATTTAGGGGAAAGTGACAAAATAAAAGCACTTTCTGCTGTTGCACACACCAGTGTTACTTTTTTATTTAGGATTTTATAGAAAAGGTTACTAGTCAACAGAATGGTAGAGGAGGGTTAACCTCTTTACAGAACACGGTGCGTTCCCCTGAAGTCTACTAAATGTAGCTGGTTCCTTGTGATGCAGCCTGAGCGTGATTGTTTCCTCTTTCACCTTAAACTCTGAGCTAAATGAGGCCGGTCTTCATCCCAGCTGAGCCTCGCATGAATCCCATGTGGTCTGAAGTCATTTTCAGTGGGCAGAATAAAAAACCACAGGAGAGCCGTCGAATGGAAGACCAAAATGACTGTAGTTAGTTTCACACAGAGGTGGAAACAGTACTGGAAATGTTACATTGCTTAAATTGTACTCAATTACAAGTAAAAGCACTAGTGTTAAGAAAATACTTAAGTAAAAGTACAAAGTACTCTTCTCAAAAGTACTCAGAGTACAAATGACTTTTTAACCGATGGATGTTTTATTGCATCGTCAATAGCAGACATGCGATGTATAAAAATCTAATTCAAAGCACATTTAGATGAACAATGTAGAAAAATTACAGGCAATTTTACGGTGGCCGACACGTGCAAACGCGTTTCAAACGCAAGAGAGAAACGCTGCAAGTTCACTCAGAACCCAACGGAAGTTCGCCAGCCCACTAGGGGGTCTGGACCTGCGGGATAGTGGATGGACTACGGGAGATCGGTGACTCATCCTCCGTCTTTTCTTCATTATTTTCCCGGGTCACTTCTGTCTCTATTTTGGCTTCTTTCTCAAATTCTCAGTCCGCTCTTTACACCGCTGTGTATTTTACCTGCAGAAACATTTGCCCGCTGCAGCAGCGAGTTGGCCTTCGCTTATATTACGTCTTAAAATAATCGCCGCAATCGCGATCTGACAGACAATAAAGATTTGCATTGAAAAAAAAAATCTGACAGTTTGAATATTATTTCAAATTGTGGGCATAATCAACAGCGACTTTTGAAAAGGAGCGAAGTAGATTACACGATGTAAATTGCACACTTGAAGAAAATATGAAAGCAAAAATCCCCCAAAAATCGACTTGATTACAGGAACGTGAGTATTTGTAATTCATTATTGGTTTCACACTTGGCACAAGCACACTGGCCTCTTGGCGTGAACGGCGAATGAAAAGGGGGCGGCGGTCGGTACCTTGTGCCGGAACCTCACGACGGGTCGATAGAGCGGTGACCTGAGTCCCTCCTTGTCGGGTCGGGCCTCGGCGCCGAGCGCGGCGAGGCCCAACAGCAAGAGCGCCGCCGCCCTCCATCCGGCTGCCTCCATTGGTCTCTTCCTGTCGAGACACAAAACAGACAAGAAGGGTGAGGGCTCATCTCGAAGACGATACATCCCGCTGGCGGCCGTTAGCGTAGACGTTAAGTAACGCGAAACCAGTCGCTGGGCTAAGCTGAAGCTGTCAGTGCGCCGCGCACTCGGCGAGGAGAATAAATCTTCTTTTGAAATCAATTAAGGGGAAATAGACGTCCTGAGAAAATAAAGAAGAGACAAAGAGCCGATATATTACGGCAATTAACGGCTTTGGTTTAATTAGTCTGAGTGTCTTAAGTCAAGATACTGTGATGAAGCGGTGAGATTACATCTTAAACTGTTTCCTCTCACAGAGCCGCAGCCCAAATATATTTATTCAACTGAGCGAAAAGATTCACTTCTGCCTTCTTATCAATAGTTAATTGCGATGTATAAAAGTTTGACCTGCACAACAGGAACTAACTAAACAAAAAAAAAACATACTGAGTGTCACAGAACCAGCAAACCGAGGAGGTTAAAATAGAGGAAATACTGTACGTGTCCGCTGGTGCTCTCATGGAGCCTCAAACAAACCCACAAATACAAAAACACACGTTCATAGATGTTCAAGTCTGGAAAAGGTTTCTCATTGGTCATCCTTTGGCGTCATTCTGCGTTTGTGCCTCAGTTCTGTGCACCCCGAGTCACAAAAAAAATCCCCTTTGTTACAAGCTTCATGAATCAATTTGACTCGACGTGACGTGCTGATTTTACACCGAGCTCTTCTTTCTAAGCCGCGTCGAGCCGCCGCCACCGCCGCCGCCTGCTCATCATCCTCCAGCGGAGAAGATGAGTGACAGCAGGGCACTGACCCCTTCTGCTGGAGTGGCACCGAGTCGGAACAACAATAGAGCCTCTGTGGCCCCGCCCGCCATCCGCCCGCCATTTGCCCACCATTCGCCCGCCATTCGCCCGCCATCCGCCCGCCATTCGCCCGCCATTCGCCCGCCATTCGCCCGCCATTTGCCCACCATTCGCCCGCCATTCGCCCGCCATTCGCCCGCCATTCGCCCGCCATCCGCCCGCCATTCGCCCGCCATTCGCCCGCCATTCGCCCACCATTCGCCCGCCATTCGCCCGCCATTTGCCCACCATTCGCCCGCCATTCGCCGGAGGTCGGGGAGTCGCGCCGGCAGAGCAGCTCGATGCTGCGATGTGCCGGACGAGGAGCGAACGCCTTTCTTTTTTGTGAGTTTGTGACTCGTATCACAGCGGGCGAAAAACTGTGATTCAGCGACCACGTTGCAGAGTTTTTTACCTCAAAGAGGTAAGATACAAAGATATGTATTTATAAGGATTATGAAACAAGCGTAATGATTTAAACCCTGGTGTTCAGCCTATATTACTACAGAACAAATCCATTAGCCTTTGTAGATTGAATGTCTCGTCCACTGTCCCCTCACTCCCGTCTCTCCCTGTTGAGTGAGGAGGGGACATTGGAAGTGTCCTCACAATCCATCGAGCGGGGAGGTTTAATTCCAAAGTGTCGAGAAATTCAAAGGATCTTTGAACCTGGCAAAGTAATTGTTAAAACGCTGTTAACCATTGCAAACCCCCTGCAGACATATAATGGATGCTTTGTGCTGCGGGGAACTAAAACTCGTACTTGTCGCCTCTTTAATGTGACCGTATTCATTGTCTATGCATTTCTGTCTCCAGATCCAGGCAGGCGGTCCGCCTGCTGCTGCTCCACTTCTCTGCTAACGCGGCTCCTCCGCCTCGCGAGGTGGATTATCATACCTGCTAGTGCGATCAGTCAACTTGTTCCACTGTTAAAAGGGTTATTAACAGAGGAGCTCTTACAGAATGCTGTGTCAGCGACATGGACGGTTTCAAGGAGTACAAATGAGTAATGCAGCGCAGCTCTTTGCAGACATTTAACTGTTTGTGAGTCAAAACTTCAGCGCCTACACAAATCTTGCCAGGTTTGTTCATATTGAGCCATTGGCAACCTCTGTTGCAAACAATGCTGCTGAATAAAAGAGAAGAAAGGTTCCCAAGAGAGAACATGTGTCTTTTCATATTTTGCAGCATCACTGTTGATAAGGCTTCCGTGTAACCTTGAATGTGTAGCTGCCAACGTACATGTACTCGTTACGGGCCAACATTCAAGATGCGGACTCGCTGATGTTTTGTGTTAACACATAAAAAGGACTTCCAGGGTTTAACTGACATAGACCGCGTTATTAGCCTGTCAAATAACTCGATCGATCGACCAGTCGATCTCGAAGGCAGTACCGGTCGATCACGTGCCATGAATTTTTAAAAAATGACGCCACGTCATGCATGTGCGTCCTACCGCGGGAGATGACCGGGACTAATGCCAATGCTAACTAGCGACTCTCGCTTACTAAACGGACGCATTTCATTTCATTCCAAAGCCACCCAGGCTGACTGCAGTAAGGCAATGGCCGATTGCGGCCCTCGGGACAATATTTTGTGGCCCCCCCACCTTGATATGAAAGCGTAATGTTAGTGTGGCCCGTGAGTTAGCAGCCACGGCCATACCTCATTTGAGTTTGAGACCCCTGCGGTAAAGCTCTATACACTGCGAGGCATTGTAAATATTCAATAGCCTTATTCATCCACCTTGAAAGCAGTGGAGACACAAACAACCTGGGAGTTCTCCCTGGACCCCCCCCAGGGAGAGTCATCATAACTTTGCCTCGCGGTTTTCAAATTCCCCGCAGCACGTCTGAGCTTTGGCATTGACTTTCAAATGAAGACTACACATTTCCCACCACCTACACTATGCATCATGTCTTGACAAGCTCACAGACGCTCTCCTCCACCGCCCCCCTCCACACCCCATCTGTCTCATTCAGCAGAGCTGTGCCTGTCAATGCACTGGCCGACCTCACAGGTACTATACACATCACCTGATGGCCACATGGGGGGGGGGGGTGACTGGGTTTGACTGTATCCACACGTGCAAGTTAGTTCCAGCTGTCAATGCGTGTTTAGTAAGTCATAGCTCTGCAAAATAGAAGAAAAAACTAAATAAAATCGTGCTATTTTTCCCCAAAGAGCCTTAATAAAGAACACTCGTCTCCCACATGAGTATGCTTGGAATAACTCTGACTCATTGCTGGTATCTCTCCAATTTACAGCTTTCTAATTACAGTCAGTTTGTCTTAAACGTAATTACACAACTCAATTCTGAACGTGGACGATAGTCTGCTGGGGAAACTGTTGTGTTTTTCAGACAGCAGTGCACGAGTTCATGATTCCCCAACAAGACTGTGAACAATCAAACAACTCACGGCACAAGTTTAGACAGTTTAACCCCGTGCAAAAAGGCAATTAAACATTTCTGACGCTTTGCACGTTCTGTCTTTTGTGAGTCTTTTGTGAGTCTGGGTGTCACATCGTTTACGTATCCCGTTCATGAGATACACGAGGTCACACCGAGGCCATTTTAGTTCTCCTTACTCGCGTTTCTCATGTTGCCACCAAACAAAGCGCTGACAGACGGAACGGAGAGACAAGGAGCGACGGCATGAGCTTCCCTTCGACGCCTGAATGGAGAACATTCGTTGAAGCAGTGTTGTTCTAAATTGCGTCTTTGAATTCTTTGCAAGCCGTTTTAAAACCTGTCAAGTAAGATGACTTCTGAGGCTTCATTCATCCTTTTCCTGCGCCTGCGTCTTCCTTTGCACCGTTTATCCTATTTTGTTTCATTGCATTTTGAAATGCACGTGTGAAAGGAGGACAAACAGCAGATTGTATAGAAGCCTTCATGATTTGAGACAAATGAAGAGTGTCTCAAACACAGCCTACTTTCCCTTCTGATGCTTGCGGTGTTTGCTGTGGACTGAACATTCATTCAGTCATACCATATTGTCAAGTTTTACTCTATTTTCCTTTACTTTTAGATCCAAGGGACCTTTGGAATTGCCTGCGCAATTGACTTCATATTCTTTTTTTTTACACATGTTCCAGCTCTCCTTGGCATAAAACAACTTTTCAAATATGAAGCAGTACATGAATACAACACATTTTACCACAAAATGATCTATATTTTTAACAAAGTTTTGAAAAGTTATTTTTTTATCGTCGATTGAATCTGATATTTGGTTTCTAGAAATGCGGATTCTGAATGTGGAGTAAAAAATGAGCAGACTCATCTAAGCTCATTGATTCAAGCCTCCAAAACTACGGTGTCTCTCTCCGGGCTCATGAACGGAGCCGCCATGGGAAACTGCACTGCTGCAGTGGCACACAGGCCTTCTTCCACTAGCCGGGATGCTCCGCGGGCCCCCAGTTTGCTCTGAAAAACAAGTGATTTACTAAAAGACGTTTGCTGGAAATGATTCAAATTGTCAGCGAAGGTCACCGGAGGGGAACTTGAAGTCAGGAGATAAGCGGCTCTGCTCTCCTCTCTCTCGCTATTTGCAATGACGGACACACCTTGCTGACCTCCCCTGTCTCTTTAAGCGGCATTAGATCAATTCAGCCGTAGCGCCACAGTTTGAGAACACTGGAGCGCCGGCGTTTGTGTGTGTGTGTGTGTGCTGCCCGAGCGTCCTGCTGCAGCGTGTCTTATTTGGGCGACTTATCGCGGCGCTTCTCAAGCTCGTAGTTCCCCGGCAGCGATGTTTACTGATAACGGGCCTCTTCAAGTTCAAAGCACGTCCAAAACCACAAGCAACAGACTCCCCTCCCCCCCCCCATGGTGGAGCGTCCGTCGTTTGGTCCTCGTTCCTCCCTTACAAATGCAGAAACTGCCGTGCCAATCTCTCAAAAAGAGCACGGCTGCTGCTTCGCCGTTGTTTTGGTGCATAAAGGAAGCGCCCGCCGTCTTCCTGTTCCAGATGTTCATGATATGCATGGAAATGAAACACTCGAGGTTTGAAAAAGGGGTTTTTTCTGCTTTAGGGGGAAGAAAAGGCCTTTGACCACGGTGTTCTGGTGGTTCTTAGAGGAGTAAAAGACTGACAGCTTTGAACGTTCCCATACTACTCTTCTCCTTCTTCTTCTCTCCTC